TTTTTGATGGGGAAAATTAATTTGGAAATTGCTGCCGTGGTGATATCGAGTCCGTTATTTTTTCAGCTCTTCAAAGAGAGAAAAAATGTAATTAAAAAAATTTTCCAACAAATATCCAGTGTTTTTATAGGTTGATGAAAAAAGTCTTTTCCCAGAAAAAATTTGTGCTTTTTTAGGCTGAAAGGTTAATTGTTGAAAATCTGAAGTGCAATCATGTAAAAGCTATTCTTTGTTTATGAAATTCTAAAGAAGTAATGGAAACTGATTTTTTATGAAAATAAGGAATGGGAATGTTAGAAAATCAAGTTATTAAATTAAATAAATATTTCATTGAAGATTATTTTTAATTTTTGGAAACTAACTGTTGTCAAATCTTTTCTATAATCAAAACTAAAAATTAAAATTACGCATAATGGAAAATAAAAGACTAGTGCTTGATAATCTAGAAGCACCAAGATGGGAATAAAACTTGAGAAATTAAAAAATGATTCTACAGGTTAAAAAATTGTCTATGAATTGAAAAAGTTTGACTAATTTAATAAAGATCAATTACTAAAATGAATTTGAAAGCGAAATAAAGAATCTTTTCGTCTGTCCAGTTATTAACTGGGTTATTGTTCACTTACGGCAGCCAAACCCAATGCAATTTGGCGACCACGTGTGTGCAGCAGCAGGTTTTTGCGTCTCTCTTTCTCTCCGGCAATATCCAGAAGTGCTGTTTCATCTTGGCGTAATTTAAAAGTTTGCCCGGGCGTCGAAATTGCGTTTGCCGGAGTGTTAAAAGGGAAACAAGATACACACGCGGAAGAGCGCGATGGGGAAATGGCTTTTTTCACTCGTTCGTTATTTGTGATGGTGCAAATTCAAATTTGTCGCCCGCCCTTAATGCAATTGCCGCCCCGTCGTCGTCGTCACCGTCACCCCAAGCTCGATTTCACCCGGCGTGTGTGTGTGAGTGAGTGCGTGTGCCGGTACATGCGAGGGTGGTGGTCGTGTGCCCAGAGAGAGACGAACACACAAATACGTTTTCATCCCCCGTGCCCCGGAATGCTGCTCTCTAATTGTATTAGCATGTTGTGTTGCTCAATGAATTGTTCCGCTGGCTAACACTGGCGCACCTCCTATTTTTACACTCCATCATCAGATTTTCCGCACGCGCCCGATACACATATATTTGGAAACGGATACGCCTCCATCTAATTAATCAATTAGGGTGAAAAACGAGAGAGGGAACAAAACCGTGGTCGCGTCCAGCGCGTGAGCTGGCATGCCTGGCACGCAAATTTAGTTTCGACGATTTTCTGAAAATTGGTTTTATCAAATATATAGTTGGATAGGGTGAGTTATGTTCCAAAATCCCTCTATTTTCAATACTAAAATTATTTCTTGTGATTTTTAGTTTGCTTCACTTTATTATAAAGTTTCAAATAATGATCTTTTGTTTGTCTATTTTAATTCACAACAATTTTTCTGGTTACTTAAATAATTAGCTTGCAATAAATTATGGTAAATTATTTACCCAGAGTGGTCCTTCAAACTTATTGTAAGCAAAATCATAAATAACTCATTCTCTGGATTTAATTTGCGTATACTTATTCCAATGATTATAATTTTTCTGCTTAGATTTTGACTTCACAATTAATTTTGTAATGAAATTTTTGTGCATTTTTGTTTAAGCTTCTCGATTTTTTTTTGCAAGCTACAGAAACTATCTGAATGGAACACAATTTTAAGGTAAATAATTTTTTTTTTTTATTTTTTTTTTATTACTATCAAACTCATTTAACGTTTTAAGAATTTAGAATATTTATATAACAGAATGCTATATAATGTTGACTTTTTCATTTGCACACAGAAAGTTTCTTGCCTCGATTCGTCCGATACGGAAGTGAGAGTGGAATTGTTTCGGACACTTTCTCCCTCCGGCGCCCTTTTCACTTCGTATCGGAGACAAAAGTGCAAAAAACGACCGAGTAGTTCCACTAATGTGGACGCAGATGGCCAATATCCTGCTTGACCTCATGAGGATTGAGCCGATTAAAGACGGCCGTGAAGGCTCTTTCCTAATCCCCTACAAAGTCTGCTCGTTGCGTACAAAACTTTTCCTAACAGAAATAAAAAGATGAGAGCAGCAGTTGTTTGTTGTGTTGTTTTAACGTTTCCGGCACCGGCCGCTTTTAGTTACAACTTTTTGTCTCCGGATTCGAAACCAATATTGCCAACTTTTCTCATTTTCCGCCGAATGATGCCGAGTGAAAGAAGATTAAAAATTCATTAAAACCGGGCGTACGCGGCGCAACGGAGCGGCGGCGGCGGCTTAATCCGTTTCTGCCTTTGTTAGCTCCGGTCGAATCCACCCTCCGCTCGCTTATTTGTTTGTTTTTTCCCCAACGGAAATGGCACACGCGAGATTCCGACTGAATTTTTGCACGCCATCGCCAAATCAAGGTGCTCAAATGCGAGGAGAGCAACTGAGCGTGAAAGCAAAAATATAGACCGGGAGCAAAGAGAGAGCTGCTGACTGCACGAGTGAACGCGAGTAATAATAATTTTATCAATAACGCCTCGTGAGCCACGCTTAATATTGGATTTTGCGGCAAATAAATTCGTGTATATTCGATCAATTTGCCACTTGGGTGAGCGGGGCAAAGGTTTATGGCTCTAAAAATTTGTTTTTAATATTATAGATTGATACTGCATATGCAGCTAAAATTCCAAAAGAACTTTTATAAAATATTTAGAATGCAATCGAGAGAGACTCAATTTTTTTATTAGCAAAATGAGTATCTCTCAATCCTATTATTTTTATTTTTATTAAATTATCATTTGATTGGAATAACTTGATTATTGATATGAATGCGCATTATAATTAATTTGATATCTAAGAAACGACTGAAAGAAGCATGACAGCTGACAAGCATGAAACTCCTTGGGGGTTTCAATATTATAAATAAAATTTTAAATAAATATGGAAGGCTAAACAATATTATATTTACATTACATTAAGTGGAAAAAGTCATTCAATATAAAACTATCAGACATGCTGGTAAATGACTCAAATAATATTATATTATAATATTATTATAAATTGCAGCTTTTTATAAATTTAAAAAAAAAACATTTGAATAATAAAATAATTTTTTTTATCCTATGTTTATTTTCTATTGAAATACTGCTACTTGCTAAATTTTTATACTAGAGTACAATTTAAATACTTCTCTATTATATTTAATTGTTAGTTGCAGTGTTGTAAAGTTTAAGCAATCTGAACCTTCTCTAAACCATTTTTCATCCGCATGGGACAAATTTATTTATCCAAGGAAAAAACACACAGAGAGCTTTTCCTCATTCGAGTGCGGCAGGCTTTTATTTAATATTTTAACTCGGTTGTGCTAAAAAAATGGCCAACGTTTTGTGTAAAAGGGGCAATTTTCCGCACTAACTGGAGGCTGTTTTGGCAGGCCAACCGAATGAGAGAGAAGAAAAAGCCGGCGCGTTCTGTTCGTCGGCACACAACGCTCTGTGTTTGTGTTTGGCCGCTTTTTGCACAGAGACGGAAAAAAGACGTCGGTTGCCACATTTTTTTTGCGCATGCAGAGGGGGGTATTAAATTTGCAGTGATGGAATTTACAGCAAACATCAAAGAATTCGGCACTAAAAGGGTTTATTTTTATGGCACTGCAGCTATTTGCATATATTTTTCAGCTCCTCACACATATGACGAGAGAATGAAGACACCACGGAATATAATAAAAGCAGTCGAGTCCGGCGCCGGTCATAATGAAGTATGATTAAAACATCTCTTGCGAGTTATTAAAGCCACTTTTAACTGCCGCACGGGCACTGCGAGTTATTATAATACCTGCCGCTTTTATATTTGCATGGCGCACTCCTCACTCAGTGACGCCATAAAAAGCATAGTTCGTGTGACACTTTTTACGGCCGCTTTGAGGATATAAAACACGGGGTGCGCGGCCGCTACTCGCATAAACCTCGCTGAAAAAACCAATGGAAATGCGAATGCACCAGCAATTGACACCAGCCAAGCCAACCGGCAATTCCGATTTGAATGTTCGGAGCTTTGTTTGAGCATTCTCTTTTAACAGCAACTCCCATGTTTTGCCAGAATAGGGCTTCTAAACCTTTCATGGAAACAAAAGTTTTTATATATATATCAATTGCTTAATTGATTAAGTTAATAATATAGATTTTAATAGATCTTAAATGAAAATATCTTCAAAATAAAATATATTTAGCTAGTCAAGAGAATAAGCAATATAACGGAGGAAAATTTTGGTGTGATGATAATAATTTAATTAGATTAAGGACTTATTACTTCATTATTTTTTATACTCATTTCATTTAAAATCAGAGCAAAATTTTCTATTAATTTTGCTATTTTACGTTATTTTCTAATTCTATTTTGAATTAAAATTTTTTCAATTACCTCCTAATTGGTATCTGAACGAGATTATTTCACAAAAAATATATTTGTTTCTTCCACAAGCTGCTGGATTAATAATTTTTTCCTTACAAGCACTAAAAATAAATTATATCTTATATTATAATTTTTTCTCGGCTGTGAAATACTCTAAAGAATCCAAAAGAAATATTTATGTTAAAATCTAGCAATATTCTCTCGTGAATCTTCATTTCTGCATAAAAACAATGGTCGCATAAACACGTCGCGAAACAATCATAAATTTTCCATTTTCGAAATTATATACGCGGCGCTTCTTGTGCGGCGCGAATGTTTATGACAGCGCGGCAAAATGAATAAGAATGAGAGTTGCGAGACGCGTTGTCGTGCTCGTCGTCGCTTTCTTGTCATCCGCTCCAGAAGACGCGCGCGCGTTGTGAACTTTTGAAAATGTAATCAGATTATCTTCTTCTCCTTCTGCGGCGGAGGAGCTTTGTTTACTTTTGGCAAAGACGATGTTCGTACGCGGAGGAGGAGGACGTGAGGAGACGCGGAAATTCATTTTGAGTGTTGTTCTTACCTTGCCAACCGTCGACACTTCTCGCACGCCGATGCGTCGCAGCAGCGCCGGCGGCACCGACGGCGGCGACCGCGCCAGGGCGCCGCTGAAGTCGCTGCGAAAGTGGGCTTCATCCTCGCCGGACGAGTGCCGCTTGCGTCGATGTGGAGATGAAAGGTTCAACTTTTGGGCCGCTCTAAAACAAAAATTAGTTTATTAGAAAAAAAATATATTTTGAAAAATTTTAAAATAATTTACTGTGCGGTTTTATTTTATTTTATTGTTTAATTTATTTTAATATTCTAATTTTCATAGATTATTTATATAAGCAGAGCATTTTGGATGAAATAATATTTTGATTACCACGAACACCTCAAATTTAGTCTATTTTGGACAAAGTATATAAAAATATCAAGGATCACAATAATTTTATGAGTCATTCAAACATGATTAAAAGTAAGTGTCATACTGACGATATTTCAAATCTCGTTTGTGATCATATTCATAATTCGTGAATTCAAATTATTGTATTTTGAGGTAAAATATTCAGGTTTTTAAATTTTCAATTTATACATATGCATAATATTTCTTTAAATATTATATCAATCAAATAATAATAACAATCAGTTATCAGTTTACATTGCTCTTAATGAAAATGACTAATTTTAAAAAGACCTGTTCACTTGCGTTAATTTTACGGCCACTTAAAACTTCACCAATCTGCGCATGAGACACGCACAACATTGAATTTCCCCGCTTTTAAAAGTACACACACCTTTGTCGCGACAGCGAAATCGGCGACATAACTCACAATAAACTTGATTTATCGGCCATTCGGGCGGCCCTCTTTACGGCCGGTAGCAACTTTAAAAATAGTTTTAAAGCACTTTAAAGCCATCTAAACGAGCTGCCGTAATGCAGAGATTGCGTGCGCGATTCAATTACGACGCGGCCCACGCGAGCAGGTATGCAACGCGCACGGCAGACGGCACCGGCGTATTGCATAGCCTCGCCGGGAAGAGAGAGAAGTAAAAAAAATATAATAAAAAGGAGCGATTTATCCGTTTACTCTGCACCTGAAAATTGGTCTTAACTCGCTTGGCTAAGCACCTGATTGTGATCATGAATGGAGACATTTCCATTCATTTTTAATCGACACCAGGATAATAAATTTCTCCACTGACGTCATAATTTCTCATTCCGCCCGAGTCGCTTCCCCTTTCATACGTACACATATAAAAATTCGTGTCTGTTACATTCCAGGCCGTGAACAGGCGAAGAATGCAAGGGTTACTATGGAAACCGCAAGTTTGGCGGTGCACGTGTTCGACGGGAAACTACTACCCGCCATACTTTTCCCTTACTTCATCTTCTGTTCCTTAACTGGAGTGCATTTCTCCGGCATTACACTGCCACACAAAAGAAGAGCGGCAGAGAGAGAAAAAAAGAACGAGAAAAGCCACCACATTCTTAAGTAATAATGGCGGACGCCAATTTGTAACCAATTTGGCCGGCTCTCCGGCCTAAGGTAATTAACTTTATTCACCCATTTCCCAGAGACGACCAGAATTGCCACGAGGTGGAACGAGAAGGAGATTAGTTGGGCCGGAGAATCAAGCTCCGGGACCACTGGAGTGAACATAATTTGGGTTTAATGAAAAAAACGCTCCGATTTCTACGGATATGTTGTTGAAATTCTTCTTATCATGATTTTGTCCTCACGGAAAAGAAATCAAAATTTCATTTTTACCAAATAGAGTAAAAATTCAACGTTGGAATAAAAATCCAATCTTATTTCTGCCTTCAGGGACTTTTAATTTATTCACATTTCACCCGTTTGGAAATTCACCCTTTCCCCACAGGTGAGCCATTGGGGGCCCGAATGTATTTAATAACTGGCGCACAAAAGGAACTCGAGTGTATACTCGAAATTGAGGGCTTCCTCTGCGACCCAAATCGAATCAACAGAGAGAGAACCGTCGAATGGGTGGCGCACGCGGTTTGCTTATGGGGTTGCATAGCTGCACACTCGCTCTCCCCTGCCAGCTCCTCGGCATGCCATCATCTCTTTTGGAAAAGGCCCGCGGCGCTACAACGCAATCTACCTAGCGACCCAAACCATCCATCCTTCCAGCCGGCTTCCGAACGCAGCTCGTTTGTTATCATCAGACTAGAGGAATTTTAAATTGTCCTCTCCGGCAAATCCAATTTCAGACATTTTCTCTGTTTTCAACTGAAAAGGCACCGACTTTATTTGCCAGAATTGAATCTTAGGCTTACGTTTTTTTAAATAAAGATATCTCTGAGGTCATTGACTCTCCAACAAGAAACTGCAATTTGAACAGATGGTTATTGGCTTTATTTCTGTCTTGTCTCGTTTGAAATTCAACGAGCGGTGCACATAGCCTCTTGAGAGAAAAGTCCGCCGTTCAGAACGTGGCATATAAAATCAAAGCACCGCAACTCTATTTTCTGATAACCCCACTCGCTCTGTTTATCAATGCGCTTTTAATGTCGCGGAAAAAGCATCGGATCCGAAAATGGGGGAAATCGCGCGGTGAATCCGTGTTGGAAATAAAAATTTACATATTACCCACAGCCAGATAGAGTCAGGACGGAAGATTTCGGTAGTAAAATTGCCTCCCCCTTTTCTCGCGCGCGCGCGAATTTATATATATCGCCAAACAGCCGTGAAAGTACACCCTCCCTTTCCGTGTCGTCGCCTCCGGGGGTGGCAATAACAGCGCCAAGCAAGGTACGGACGCGTTGTGTACCGAGACGACACCCGAATTACGCACCAAGTCATGCATTATGCATCAATTGTCCTGTGCAGCAGGTCATCGCTGCGAATTTGCATTCCTTTGGCTTTGTTTCTCGCGGCGATACCCGTCGGTGGCTTGTCTTTGAAACCGGAGGACACCTTGCTGAATTAATTTCGGCGACCTCACCGACGACAGAACCGTTTGATGTGGTTTTGGCTTTGGCATAATTAGGAGTGCTGGTGCGCGAGAAATATGTGTTATTGACTGGGTGACAGGAATTCAAATTTCTAACCAATTTGGCTGGATATTAATATCGTTGTGGAAAATGGATTTAAGCGTAGAGAATGTGAGAAATTAGAAATTATAATCAAGTGAAATTGTTGCAAGTCGGTTAATTAATAAATTATGATGTTTAAATCAGAAAGAATGGGTCTAATTATTTTAAACAAATATTTATTTCAATTTAATGGCCACAAACTACGTTTAAAGAAAAATTTAGTTTAGAGTTAAATGATTAATTTTATTACTTATCACTTCAATCAATTTTATGAGGCAAAAATTTACCTCCGATAACCCCAGCATTCATTTTAAACGTAAAAGGTTATGTCAGAAACATTTTCTGTTAATTATAAATTTTAAATTTAGCTAAAAAATTTAATTATTTCTATCTAGTTTTACCTTTTAGCATTTGAATATTTGTAAAAACTGAAGAGATAATCAGATTTCTTTATCGCTATAATTAAGTTTAAATTAAACAAAATAAAAAACATTTTTATAGTTATATTCTCTATTGAATTTCCCGAAATATTCATTTTTTTTCTCAAATAAAAAGGTCTTATTTTAATTTTACTACTTCTGCTGCAAAAATGTCAAATGCAGAGACACCAATATCTAATTTATTTATCTCTTCTCGATATACCAATAAACCACATTTCCACAACTCAACAGTTGTTGCTACTCTTACATCCTTGTTCATATTCGTTTTCAGCGCCTTTACCAATATCAATTTTATATTTGCGCTCCATTCGCAGCAAATTGGATGCTGCTTTCCAAGTGTATCGAGTGTCACTTTAAAAAGCGAGGAATCTGCGGCGAATTGAGGCATTCCGCTGCACAACAAGCTGCCTTCTTTTTTTATTTTCCGGCACCAGACTGTCTGTATTTGCATATTTGATGGCGCCTGTGCGCGTTAATAGTGCAGCCGAGTCTGGCGGCAGTGTGCGTTGTAGTTATGCTTTCCAATTTCACGGGTGAGTGCCCTAAGTGACGCGCGCGGCCCGGAAAGCTAGGTGATGACGGAAAAATGCGACGAGCGGTGTGTCAATAGCAACCCTTTCCACGGCCGGTGCATGAATATTTCAACCGGTTAAAATGGAGAAATCGTGTTTGCTGCCAACTGGGCACGTCGCACTCCAAGTCAAAACAGATTTTTTAGAAAATGTTCGAGAATTGTTTGTTTTCGGGATTTAAACGCAGCGGTGTAGACGCGTCGAAAGCTAAGCAGATTTGCAGCTGTCGATTCCGAGGGTAAATAAATTGCAAATCCGCACCCTTTTAATTGTATCGATTGGCAAACTTCGATTTTCCGAGTGAAATTCCGTGAGGGCCGCTGCTTTTTCATACAGGACTATCTCTCTCTCTTTGGTTCTCCCCGTTTGTGTGCTGCAAGGCTTAGTGGCGAGCGAGCGAGAGAGAGAGAGAGAGAGAGAGCTAAAGGTGATAATATCATTACCGAGTGATGGATTGCATCGAGGGTTGCATGCCGCGCGTGCGAAAGGGGCTCTGCAGAGATATTGTCACGTGACTCCACCTGGGGTTCTTGCTCTCCTCGCCTGTTGTGTGCCGCAGCTAAATAAATATTTCCAAGACATAAATACCGGGGGCGGCCAAGACACTTTCGATGCCCTCCTCTCAATGTAAGGTTTTGGGGGAGAAAAATCTGCCCCGATTGAGGGTGATAGCAGAAAATAACAATAATCGACATGTGCAATATTAGTAGTTGCAGTTTAATATAAAAAAAAAAACATTATTATTTTACAAGCAAAATAATTTGACTTTTAAATTTTATAAAAATATTATTATTAAAATTTTGAAACATTATTATATTTTTATTTAAGATAAAAATTATTTCCATAATACCGTATTTTTGAACATCAATAAATAAGGTTTCTTTTAACACTAAGGCAGGTGGTTTTATGTTTTTAAAAACAATAAATTTGTAAATCTTAACAGTTAAGGTGTAAAAATTTTAAATTTTAGCAAGAAACTTCTAATTCAGCCGCTATCGCTGACCCCTAATACTATTCCCATGCCTATTAGTAAGCTGAAGATTATCAGGAATTCAAACTAATACATAACGTTTTACCACATTAATTACATTGTGATCGTCAATAGACTGATTCATGAAAAAATTTTATATCAATTAGCATAGAGT